CTTTTTGTTTTTGTAAAATTTTTTTGAGGCTTCTATGAGCCCTCTCAATGATTCCTTGACCTTGGGGATTGTATGGGATACCATGTTTTAATTGAACCTCCATCATTTTGCAGAACTCATTGAAAGCTTTGCCTATATAGGCTGGTCCATTATCAGTTTTTAATATTTTTGGTTTGCCCCATGCGGCCCAAGCCGCCAGGCAATGATTGATCACATTAGACACTTTTTCACCTGTTTCTGCTGTTGCAAATATGACGCGAGAACAGGTGTCTGTGGAAACATGAACATATTTAAGAGTCCCAAACTCCTGTATATGTGTGATGTCCATCTGCCAAACATCACCAGGGATCAAACCTCGAGGGTTTACTCCCCCTTTTTGTTTTTTATTTTTTATTTTTTATTTTTATCTTTTTCGTTTTTTTTTTTTTTTTTTTTTTTTTTTTTTTTTTTTTTATTGGTACCAGGGATCGAACTAACAACTGCACACTTGCAAGGCAGGCGCTTAAGCCGCTGAGCTAAATCCCCAGCCCCTTTTTCCTCGACCGGCGTTTTTCTCAGCCTGCTCGGCAGAGTAGCCGCCCATGAAAATACCGTCTGCCCAGCGGCGCGACGTCATAAGACTGCGGTCGCGACAGAGTGAAACGGGGCGTCACTTCCTGTGCCGGCTGAGGGAAGGGAGGGTTTCCTGTGGCGGCCTCTCGGCGGGGAGCCGCTTTTAGAAAAGAGCTCCAGGGCGGAGCGGATGGCTCTCTATCTCCTCCCCGCCAGAGAGCGCCGGGGAACCGAGTCTGACCATCAGCGCGCCGACCCTCTCCCACAAGCATTCTCTTGTTCCACCCCCGGTCTCCCCGATTGGCGTTTCTCTCAGCCTGCTCTGCAGAGGACTCTGCATACCAGGCTCGCCAATCCAGGTAACCACCCGAGGGCAGACACGCCCCCGCCAGCTGAATCCAGTCCGCGGGGGTGAGGGGCCCAGAAGACAGATTCTCCAGCATGGCAATGGTGTAAGGCGCAGTCGGCCCAAAAGTTGTAACTGCATTTTTAAGTTCTCTAATCTGCTTTATCTCAAAAGGCTCCCGTACATTGCGTCCCTGGCCTATAGCCACTTGTACAGGAAATATCCCATAGGGGTCACTATCCATCCCAGGTGGTGGATGTACCTCATGAAACAAGCGTCTCCCCTGCCAAAGCCACCTGTGAAAATACCGATCCGCCGGCGGCGGAGCATAAAACAACGGCCGTGATTGGGCGGAAAATGGGGGCCCGTGCATCACTTCCTGTTCTGGCGAAGAGGAAGGGAGCTCCCGGGCGGCCGCCCCGCGGCGAGGGATCGCCTCCGGAAACGGCCCCCAAGGTGGGGCGGAAGGCTTCGCCTCCCTCTCGCGCCGGGGAGCGCTCAGGAGCTCTCTACTCCTCCGCAGACCAGGTTGAGCAGAGCGCAATTCGCGGGGCAACGCTGGAAAAGAACCCTGCGACTCCTTATTGAGCGATTTAGGCTCCTGACAGCTGGTCTCTTTGGCCTCCTTGCCATTCAACTTTCCCTCGTCCTCGGAGTCAGACGACTCCGAGGCTAGAGCCCCGTCCTCCTCCTTAGCATCCTTGTTCCCCTTGACAGACACCTCTCGGGAGCTCCCTGACTGGGCCTGCTCAGATACCCTGCATACTTTTGTAAGCTCTTGAGAGCTTTCTCCACAACCACCCTCGCTCTTAGTGCCGCTACCTAGCATGTTTCCCATTTTTTAATATGTTACTCACCGCGTGAGGCCCAAGGAATCCGCCACTTACGCGTGAGCCTGAGGGGAGTCTAAAAGCCCTGTAGGTGCGCGCCACCCAGAGCCCAGGCTTATCCCCAACTCACCTGTCTCGCAGCTCTGTACTGGAGCGTTGTCCACTTCCACGTCGCGGGGGTGATCAGTCCCCGGGCGGGCCTCCAAATGTCGATGTCCGCTCCCGGCCGGCAGGAAGGACACACGACACAGTCTGGTAGTGGACAACCTTTTCTTTTTATTCTTCTTCTCCGTACAGCCTGCCCTGGGTTCTCCCAGCTGAAGCCTCCTTTGGTCCGCTCTCCGCGGCTCCTCTTGTGCTTCAGTCTGCCCCGAAGCCTCTATCGGTCCGCTCTCCGCGGCTCCTTCTGGGCTTCTACTTCCGGGCTTCTACCTGGCTTCTACTTCCTCCCAGGGGTGGCACCAGTATATATACGGGTACAGTGTCCAATCATGTTAAAGTAAGCAAGGCAAGCTGATTGGCTAACATCATCAGTTGCTAGGCAGACTATATTGTTGAGCGGGTTGTTTACGCGGTAAGCAGGAAACTAGCATATTCGATGGGAGGGGTAATCTACCTCAGGCTTCACTCTTTACTACAGGCCTCACGTCCGCCAAGTGAGGCGACCGGGCTCGGGGCTGCGGCTCCCAACAAATTTCAATAGCTATTGTGTCCGATATATGAAGTGGATGGGATATACTTTCTTCTATATACATCGCTTCTAGGGTTTCCTGAGATGGGCTGGAGGTTTGATGTTGGGAGCTGCAGCCCCGAGCCCGGTCGCCTCACTTGGCGGACGTGAGGCCTGTAGTAAAGAGTAAAGCCTGAGGTAGATTACCCCTCCCATCAAGCACGTTAGTTTCCTGCTTACCGCGTAAGCAACCCGCTCAACAATATAGTCTGCCTGGCAACTGATGATGTTAGCCAATCAGCTTGCCTTGCTTACTTTAACATGATTGGACACTGTATCCGTATATATACTGGTGCCACCCCTGGGGGAGAAGAAGAAGCCCGGAAGTAGAAGCCCAGAAGGAGCCGCGGGGAGCGGACCAAAGGAGGCTTCGGCTGGGAGCGATCCCAGGGCAGGCTGTACGGAGAAGAAAAATAAAAGAAAAGGTTGTCCACTGCCAGACTTTGTCGTGTGTCCTTCCTGCCGGCCGGGAGCAGACATCGACATTTGGTGGCCCGTACGGGGACTGATCACCCCCGAGACGTGACAGCGGACAACGCTCCAGTACAGAGCTGCGAGACAGGTGAGTTGGGGATAAGCCTGGGCTCTGGGTGGCGCGCACCTACAGGGCTTTTAGACTCCCCTCAGGCTCACGCGTAAGTGGCGGATTCCTTGGGCCTCACGCGGTGAGTAACATATTAAAAGATGGGAAACATGCTAGGTAGCAGCACTAAGAGCGAGGGTGGTTGTGGAGAAAGCTCTCAAGAGCTTACAAAAGTACGCAGGGTATTTGAGCAGGCCCAGTTAGGGAGCTCCCGAGAGGGGCCCGTCAAGGGGAACAAAGATGCTAAGGAGAAGGACGGGGCTCTAGCCTCGGAGTCGTCTGACTCCGAGGACGAGGGAAAGTTGAATGGCAAGGAGGCCAAAGAGACCAGCTGTCAGGAGCCTAAGTCGCTCGATAAGGAGTCGCAGGGTTCTTTCCCAGCGTTGCGCCGTGAATTGCGCTCCGCTCAACTTGGTCTGCGGAGGAGTAGAGAGCTCCTGAGCGCTCCCCGGCGCGAGAGGGAGGCGAAGCCTTCCGCCCCACCTTGGGGGCTGTTCCCGGAGGCGATCCCTCGCCGCGAGGCGGCCGCCCGGGAGCTCCCTTCCCCTTCGCCAGAACAGGAAGTGATGCACGGGCCCCCATTTTCCGCCCAATCACGGCCGCCGTCTTATGCTCCGCCGCCGGCAGGTCGGTATTTTTACAGGTGGCTTTGGCAGGGGGGACGTTTGTCTCATGAGGTACATCCACCACCTGGGATAGATAGTGGCCCCTACGGGATATTTCCTGTACAAGTAGCTATGGGCCAGGGACGCAATGCATGGGAGCCTTTTGAGATAAAGCAGATTAGAGAACTTAAAAATGCAGTTACAACCTTTGGGCCGACTGCGCCTTACACCATTGCCATGCTGGAGAACCTGTCTTCTGGGCCCCTCACCCCCGCGGACTGGATTCAGCTGGCAAAGGCGTGTCTGCCCTCGGGTAGTTACCTGGATTGGCGAGCCTGGTACGCAGAGTTCTCTGCAGAGCAGGCTGAGAGAAACGCCAATCGGGGAAACCGGGGGTGGAACAAGGAAATGCTTATGGGAGAAGGTCGGCACGCTGATGATCAGACTCAGTTCCCCGGCGCTGTCTATGAACAAATCAATGCCATAGGGCTCCGCTCCTGGAAGCAGGTAAGTGGTGCCGGAACAGCCTCCTTGTGTCTTTCAAAAATAATTCAGGGTACCACAGAGCCATTTGTTGACTTTGTGGCCCGAATGCAAGATGCTGCCGATAAGATATTTTCTGATCCGGGAGTGGCTCGACCGCTGGTAAGGCAGCTGATTTTTGAGCAATGTACAAAGGAGTGCAAGGCAGCGATAGCTCCTCATAAGAACAAGGACCTCAACGCCTGGATTAGGATATGCAGAGAGATAGGGGGGCCGCTCTCCAACTCGGGAGTGGCTGCTCTCCTGGCCGCGGCTGTACAGCAGAGGGGACCTCGCGGGTTAGAAGGGGAATGTAAGGCTAAAGGGTGTTTTGCCTGCGGGGAGCCAGGACACATTAAACGTCACTGCCCAAACAATGCAGATGCTAGGCCTCGCCCTAGGAATGAAGAACCATATGTTTGTGGGCGATGCAAGAGGGGATCACACAAAGCTGAGGAGTGTAGGTCGGTCTTTGATGCTCAGGGCAACCGTATTTGTGGACGAGATGCTAGAGGGCCAAAAAACGGCCAGAGGGGGCCCCCTTCACAGGCGGGCCCCCGCCCCAGAGACAGGACAGCTCAGGATGGCAGCCTTCAACAAGGGCCACCCCTGGGTCAGCAGGTGTGGACCTCAGTGTCGCCTCCAGACTTATATTAGTGCCTGATATGGGTGTTCGAGTGGTTGAAACCACCTTTAAGGGACCGTTACCCAAAAATTCCGTGGGTCTGGTGATCGGGAGATCCTCCACGGCCCTTCGGGGTCTCATAGTAGTCCCGGGGGTCATAGACTCAGACTACACAGGACACATTAAAATTATGGTTCAATCTCTTGTGGGTACTATGGTAATCAATAAAGGAGACAAGATAGCGCAGCTCTTGCTGCTCCCCAGTCTCCACAAGAGATTTCCCTCAAAGCAGAAAATTAGAGAAAGTCAAGGTTTCGGTTCCTCAGGAGAAGTCTTTGAGGGACTCCATATGACACTTGGTAAAAGGCCCATGCTCTCACTTAAGGTCAATGGCAAGAATATAACAGGGCTCCTAGACACAGGAGCTGACCGTTCCATTATCTCTAGAAAGGATTGGCCCTCCAACTGGCCCACCAACACTGCAGATAACATGCTGCAGGGCCTGGGGATGGTGTCAGCTCCTCAGGTTAGTGCTTCAACCCTGCTCTGGTGCGATGAGGAGGGTCATCAGGGCCATTTCCAACCATTTGTGTTGCAGTTGCCAGTGTCTCTATGGGGAAGGGACATCCTCACTCAGATGGATGTCACGCTTACGTCAAACTGCTCCCCCCAGGCTAAGGATATACTCAGGAACCAGGGATATACCCCCGGCAAAGGCTTGGGCAATGCCCTACAGGGTCGGACATCCCCAATACCAGTAGAGAACAAAAAAGGTAGGCAAGGGCTGGGTTTTTCTTAGGGGCCGCTGAAGAAGCTCTCCTACCCACTTCGATCAAAATCACCTGGAGGTCAAATGATCCGGTTTGGGTACCTCAGTGGCCCCTGCCTAAGGAGAAGCTATTAGCCTTGTCAGAAATAGTCAGTACACAACTTAGATTAGGACACATTAAGCCGTCAACCTCCCCATGGAACACCCCCATTTTTATAATTAAGAAAAAGTCTGGCAAGTGGAGGCTGCTCCATGATCTAAGGGCGGTCAACGCGCAGATGCAGTCCCTGGGGGCGGTCCAGAGGGGGCTGCCAGCTCTCTCAGCCATCCCTCAGTCCTGGCCAGTTTATGTTATAGATCTTAGAGACTGTTTCTTCTCAATCCCCCTGCATCCAGAGGACACTCATAGGTTCGCCTTTACTTTACCCACCATTAACCAAGAAAGCCCTGATCTCAGATACGAGTGGATAACGCTGCCCCAAGGTATGGCCAACAGTCCCACTATGTGTCAGATTTACCTTGATTCCCTACTGGCCCCCCTACGGAAATCCTTTCCCAAGATAAGATGTGTGCATTACATGGACGACCTTTTGCTCAGCGGCAGGGACCCAGACATGCTAAATAATATGCTCGGCCAGTTGGTCGAGGCCCTGAGACAAGCTAATCTGCATGTTGCCCCCGACAAGATTCAGGGAGGAGAAATGGTGACCTACTTAGGCGCGAAAATCTCCCCTATGCTAGTCTCTCCACAGAAGGTCACCATTAGGACGGATGGCGTTAGGACCCTAAATGACATGCAAAAGCTATTGGGAGACATTAATTGGATTAGGCCATATTTACATATACCAAATTCAGATCTCAAACCCCTGTTCGACCTTCTAAAGGGAGACCCAGATATAGCCTCCCACAGGAGGCTCACTCCTGAGGCAAGAGCTGCCTTACAGAGAGTGGAAAAAGCCTTAGGTGGGGCTACCTTACACAGAATTGAACCAGGGCGACCCTTTGATGTCTGTTTGCTACAGACTAGTCTACAGCCCACAGCGGTGATTTGGCAGAAAGGACCATTACTGTGGATACACCCTAAGGTCTCACCTGCAAAAGTCATAGAGCATTACCCGGAGGCAGTCGCTTCATTGGCCCTTGAAGCGCATGATAGAGCTGTCCAACATTTTGGCTCAGGACCACAAGCCATCCGAGTACCCTATACCGCCAGCCAGATCAAGACCCTGGCTGCCTGCATAGATACATGGGCCATTCTGAGATGTGTTTTCCATGGGGATATAAACAATCAATACCCTAAAGACCCTATCTTGTCATTTGTCACTCAGCACCCTATAATTTTTCCAAAGGTTACTGCCTCTGAGCCATTAGTCCCAGCAACTACAATATACACAGATGGCTCCAAGACGGGGATAGGCGCCTATGTGATCCTAGGCAAGCCCCCGGTTACCATACAATTTGAACCTGATCAGCCTCAGGTGGTGGAACTGCAGATCGTTAAAATGATTCTTGAACGGTTCTCAGAAGCCATTAATATTGTCTCCGATTCTAGGTATGTGGTCAATGCTATGCAAGTGCTTGAGACTGCCGGTTTAATTAGATCCACTTCCACAGTGGCTGGGCTGTTCCTGTCTATCCAGACATTGCTTCAGAACAGACACCATAAGGTCTTCACCACCCACATAAGAGCACATACATCCCTGCCAGGGCCTATGGCACAGGGGAATGTGGCTGCTGATACTGCCACTCGCCCGTTATGGATTTTTACCTTACTAACACCAATCGAGCGAGCCCGTGCCTTCCATGATAAGTTTCATGTCAATGCCAGGACACTAGCAAACCATTTCCATGTTTCCAGAGCAGATGCACGAGATATCGTGCGACTATGTGACTCCTGTGCCACATACAAACCTGCCATACCGATGGGAGTAAACCCTCGAGGTTTGATCCCTGGTGATGTTTGGCAGATGGACATCACACATATACAGGAGTTTGGGACTCTTAAATATGTTCATGTTTCCACAGACACCTGTTCTCACGTCATATTCGCAACAGCAGAAACAGGTGAAAAAGTGTCTAATGTGATCAATCATTGCCTGGCGGCTTGGGCCACATGGGGCAAACCAAAAATATTAAAAACTGATAATGGACCAGCCTATATAGGCAAAGCCTTCAATGAGTTCTGCAAAATGATGGAGGTTCAATTAAAACATGGTATCCCATACAATCCCCAAGGTCAAGGAATCATTGAGAGGGCTCATAGAAGCCTCAAAGAAATTTTACAAAAACAAAAAGGGGGAGTAGGCCAAGGCCTGGCCCCAAAGGCACGATTATCCATGGCACTATTCACACACAATTTTTTAAATTTAAATAATGATAATTGCTCCCCAGCCGTGGAGCACTGAAACCCTTCCCCCAACCATAAAGGGTGGGTGAAGTGGAAAGATGTCCTGACAGGACAATGGATGGGCCCGGATCCAGTGGTCAGCTGGAACCGAGGCGCGGTTTGTGTTTTCCCACAGGAATCGGGACGAGAACCACTGTGGGTACCGGAGAGACTGACACGGGCGACAAAGCCCTCGACTGAAGATCAGACCTGCCCTACCGGAGATCCATCACAGACCAACCAACAAGATGAATAGAAATAGCGGTAGCCCGAAATGGACAAGAAGATCCTCAGGCATATGCATGGCTCGCTCGCCTAGCCTACGACCGAGTCTAGGGGTGGTGAGCTTCCCACACTCCTCCTCTAAAAAATTATGACATAGCTGGGTAGGAGAGTCAATGACGGGTAAGAGCGTACTCCCCCGGTGCGACTCAACCTAAGCCAGGCCCTACCCCATCCTGCACGTAAGCCGCTGGACTGTTAGATGCTGCCCAGGTCTAAATTTCTCTCCGAGGGGATTTCTTTACGGAGAGGAAATGAGTGCAAGCTTGTGTGCATCCAGGTTCCATCCAGTTTGTGCCTGGCCCTAGAAAAAGGACGAGGGCCTCAGGGCCTTGGCAGACCATGGGACGGCCGACCAGGGTCTAAGCCAAGGACCTACGGTGGGCCTACGCATAGGGCATAAGCCTCTGCACCCAGTCCAGAAAGGGCTACGATGCGCACATTCATAAAAAATAAAAAAGGGGGAGATGTTGGGAGCCGCAGCCCCGAGCCCAGTCGCCTCACTTGGCGGACGTGAGGCCTGTAGTAAAGAGTAAAGCCTGAGGTAGATTACCCCTCCCATCGAGCACGTTAGTTTCCTGCTTACCGCGTAAGCAACCCGCTCAACAATATAGTCTGCCTGGCAACTGATGATGTTAGCCAATCAGCTTGCCTTGCTTACTTTAACATGATTGGACACTGTATCCGTATATATACTGGTGCCACCCCTGGGGGAGAAGAAGAAGCCCGGAAGTAGAAGCCCAGAAGGAGCCGCGGGGAGCGGACCAAAGGAGGCTTCGGCTGGGAGCAATCCCAGGGCAGGCTGTACGGAGAAGAAAAATAAAAGAAAAGGTTGTCCACTGCCAGACTTTGTCGTGTGTCCTTCCTGCCGGCCGGGAGCGGACATCGACAGTTTGAGGTTGTAATTTGGTCTTTCGTTTTGTCATTTTCCTATATTTCTGTGTTTCAAGTGTTATTTGAAAGCTTCCTCAGGATCTGTTGAAAATCCCCTTCTATGTTTGTAGCTACTGAGACTCTGGCACCACGCTATGCCAAGCCATTGGGCCTACAGAACCAGTGGCCCTCCTCTGCCTGCTCAGAACTCCGCAGTTCCAGACAAGCTGGGCCTCAGGGACACTGTGCGCCCACCTGCCCCTTGGAAGCTCCACACTTCTTCAATTGCAGCCAGGTTAGGGTACTCACCACAGGCCTCGGTGCCTCAGGAATCTGTGGTCCCACCCTGCTTGCATAGATATCCACAGTCCTCCAGACACATGGAGAGGCCGATGCAGGCACCCCAGATCTGCCCAGCTCCTCCTCTGTACACTGATGGCTAGGCGTGGCCGCAAAACAGGCTGGGCTTGGCTGATAGTGTGGGCCCGCCCACCCATTGGGAGCTCAGCAGTTCTCCAAGTGCAACAGGAATGAGGAGGCTGATGTGGAAGCCTCAAACCCACCTCTCCCCTTCACTGCACCTGGGAGCCTGGGGGGACTCCAACAGTCTGGGCGGAGATATCCAGAGTCCTCCAGACATGCAGAGAGGCCGATGAGGGCAACCCAGATCTGCCCAGCTCCTCCTCTGCACACCGATGGCCAGGCGCGGCAGCACAACAGGCTGGGCTCCGCTGATAGTGTGGGCCCGCCCACCCGTCGGGAGCTCAGCAGTTCTCCAAGTGCAACAGGAATGGGGAGGCTGATGTGGAAGCCTCAAACCCACCTCTCCCCTTCAGTGCACCTGGAAGCCGGGGGGGACTCCAATAGTCGGGGCAGAGATATCCAGAGTCCTCCAGACATGCAGAGAGGCCGATGAGGGCACCCCAGATCTGCCCAGCTCCTCCTCTGCACCTATCCGTTTATTCTTTGTAATAATCTTTTTGGTCTGTTTTATACTCTGAGTACTTTAATGATAATTATACACAATTGATCAACAATTGTTTTTCTCTTATTTTCCTACAAAACTTTATTTTTCATTAGATAAAAGAAGAAAGAAATACTGGACAGTTTTCTTTTCTTGTGATGTCCCTGTCTGGCTTTGATTTCAGGGCAATGCTGAATTTGGAAGTATTGCCTCTTCTATAAATTTTTTCAGAGTTTGTGAAGAAATGGTATGAGTTCTTTAAGTGTTTTTGTAGAATTCAACAGGGAAGCCATCATGTCTTAAGTTTTTCTGGATGGAAAACATTACAAATTCCACCTCCTTCACTATCTGTCGTTTAGGTTTTGCTGTGATTCAGTCTTGGCAGATCCTTTGTATGTAAATCTTTCTCCAGTTCTTTTCAGTTAATCAATTTGAGATATAGAATTGTTTATAATATTCTCTTATGATTCTTTAAATTTCTGTGAAGTCAGGTGAAATTCATTTCCTTTCTTTTCTGATACTGTTACTTGAATGTTTTTCTCATCAGCAGTCTAGCTAATGATCTGTCTTTATTTTCTCAAAGATAAAAAGAACTGTTTCACTGATGGTTTGTACTATATCTCTAGTCCCATTCATTTTTAACTAATATTTAATTGTCTCTTTCCTCCCACTGATAATGAGCTTAATTTTTTCTTTTTATATTTTCCTTAGATGTAATAGTTATGATCTATTTCTTGGATCTAGATGTTCATTACTATACACTTTCCTCTTAAAACTGCTCTTCCTGCATTTCATAATTTTGTTTTATTGTGCTTCTGTTTTCATTTACCTCAAGATACTTTTAAATTGCTTTTATAATTTCTTCACTTACCCATTCATTGTTTAGAAGCATATTGCTTAATATCCATGTATTTGAATTTTCTCAAATTCCTTCTGTTACTTATCTCTAGTCTTCTACCAGTGTGTTCAGTAAAAGGCATTTGATATAATGTCCACCATCTTAAATTTGCTGAGATGTAAACCATATGTAGGCCAAACACTAAAGGAATTCATTGTACTACATTGTTACGACTTGAAAGTTTACCCATTATAGAAACTGGTGCGCTTTTATAAATACCCGGAGAATCTTAAAATAAGTCAAGAGCCATAATATTAAATGATAAAGAAAAGCAGTCTGAATAGTCCATAAATCCTTTTGTTTGCAAATAATTTGGTTCACAAACAAAATGATTTGTCAAAATGCTGTTTTTCTTGCAAACTGTGCATTGGGTGACAAACCTAACTATGGCCATTTATTCCCACACAGAGACATGCATGGTCATCTTTCCCACACAGACACACACATGGTTATCTTTTCTAAAATCATAGAGGGAATTAAGTCTGAAAACAAAGGTGTCACACACACATACATACAAACATGCACATCACAGACATACACATGGGTAACGACCTGGAAGACAGTACAAATCAAGAAATATAATATATAACAACAATAAAATCTGGGTAAATCATAGAGTTCTATGTATGTACATGTCATAAAGCATCAAGTGAAGATGTCCACTGGTAGATGAGAATACAAATTGGTACCTGGAGGAGAAGATTGAAACAAGCTTGGATGTCATCACTTAGGAAGACACCAACAAAATTAATGGACCAAGGCTGAAAACCTAAACAGTACCATATATATAGTAATAAAAGACAGACCCTGAAAAGATTTGCTACTGACCCACTTTGGGACTTTAAAAGTTCAAATTCCACATTTTTTCAATCTTTAACACTATAAGACTGCTTTTCATTGCTGGCTTTTCACAACAATAAATAAGATCATGGATACAAAGTATGTTGATAAACTCTGAAATAACAAGGAAAGAAAACAGATTATTAAAGAGTAGATAAGCATCTTTAAGGGGACAACTTCAGGGCCCCAGATATGATTGAGTTTCTACCCAAACTCAAATTAAACTACCAAAACAAAGAAAGGTAAAAGTTTATTTCAGGTTAAGGTCAAGATTTTAAAAGAAAACAATTTAAACATTAAAATAAAGAATATAAAAAAGATTGAGAGACAGAATGATGGGAATACTTAGAAGTGTTTTATTCAACAGTTAATTGTGTAGTTTAGAATAAGGAGTAGGAAACTGATGTTTGGGAATTAGTATTGGCATGATAGGTTAAAATATCAATTAAAGGTGGTTTTCAAAGATAACACATAATAATTTAGTGGTTTAATACCTACAGGCAGGTTTCAACAAAATTTTTTACATTCAAGTTGCTCAGGATCACCTGGAATTAAGAAATAGGATAACCTCCCTGGAATGTCACTGAGAACTTCTATCTATATCAACTACACATCTTCATTTCAGTTTTTTTTACTTACTGGACATTTATGTAATATTTTGTTTGCATAGAAACTTCCCTAGTAGCGAAAAAAGTCAAGAATAATATTTAGAAATTAATGTATCAACCAAAAAATTGTATTATAATTACAAATATTAATATTATGGACAAAAGAACATTTTCTTACAAATGATTCTTCCCAGGGCTTCTTTCATGTCTCTGTTCCTCAGGCTGTAGATGAAGGGGTTCAGCATGGGAGTTACCACAGTATACATTAGAGCCATTACTGTTTCCTTCACAGTGGAATTATTAGCTGATGGACATAAGTACAGGCCAATGACTGTACCATAGAACAGTGACACCACAGAGAGATGGGAACCACAGGTGGAGAAAGCCTTACGGATGCCCTGAGCAGAAGGGGCCTTGAGAATGGAGGATACAATTCGTGCATAGGAAACAATAATGAGGAGAAATGGAATAACAAGAATGATGCCTCCCATGATGAATATCACCACCTCATTAATACTAGTGTCAGAGCAGGCCAGCTTCAGCAGTGCAGACATATCACAGAAGAAGTGGGGGGTCACATTGTCCCCACAGAAAGACAATCTGGCCATGAGTAAGGTGTGCAACAGGGCATGAAACATGGTCAGCACCCAGGACAGCATCACCAGGCACACACACAGCTTGGGGCTCATGATCCTGGTGTAGTGCAGGGGAAAACAGATGGCCACATAGCGGTCATAGGCCATGACCACAAGCAGAAAGCTCTCCAGATCTCCAAAAAACAAGAAGAAGTACATTTGGGTCAGGCAGCCTGCATAAGGGATGGATGGGACTTGGCTCTGCATGTTCTTCAGCAACTTGGGCATTGTGACAGAGGAAAAGCAGAGGTCAGAGAAGGACAAGTTGCTGAGAAAAGAATACATGGGTGTGTGGAGATGGGAGTCCAGTTGTATGAGGATGATGATGAGGAAGTTCCCCAGGATGGTGGTAAGATACATGGTGAGGAACAGGCCATAGAACAGGATTTCATACTTGGACTGGAGAGGCAGACCCAGGAGGAGAAACTCTGAGAGGAGAGTTTGATTCCTTCCTTTCATGCTGTCTCCAGCATGTTTAAAACAATAGGATCCTTTAAAATCCAAATATAACTTAACATCAGTCTATGATACATGATCTCCTAAAAGTTCTGCAATAATTTACCCCACCCTCAGTGTATAAAGCAACAATCTACAGTCAAGAAATACGTCATTTCACTAAATCCAAATTACCTCTCAAACTTACTTTATTCTTTTCTAATTTGATGTAATAATATTGGCATTTCCCTATACCTTAGAAAACATTCTTACAAATTTGCTTTTGTGGGGACACACTGGTATTCCTAATACTTCAGTTCTGTGTGACTGTGATTTGTTTCTTCGCTAACATCTCATAGATCACCATTTTCTGAGCTTCTTCCTAACACTATCGTTATTCCATAGCTATAGCCCTGATGGTTTGCCTATTCAGGTAGCATTGCTTACCACCTAATCTCATGGATGAACATCTATCTTCACTTCATTCCCATCTTCATCTCAGCATACCTTAAATGAAATCAGAACTCACTCTCCTTCCCCAATCCATTCCTCCAGAAAGTAAAGATTATAGTTTCTTACCCCACCGTTCACACTTGCTACTCCTCTTGCCTAACCCATCTGTTCTCTGTTCCCTCTTCACCTTGATCATCCCTACTTATTTTTAGGCTCAGCACATGTTCCTTCCACAGATAAATCTCCCCAGTGTCCTCATATTAAACGAGACCTGCTGCGATGCTCCCACAGTACTGGGTGCCCACCTCAGAGAACTCAGTGCCCTTGATTACTTGCTTGCATCTGACTTCCCTGACATATTGTAAACTGCATGTAAGGGCGTGTCTGTCTTTGTGACTGTACCATGCTCAGCACATGACATAGTGCCTGGATATGGCCAGTGTTTCATGAGTACTTTTTGGTTTCTTCTAGGCCAAGGCACATATTTAGCAAAATTTAAAGGCAGAAAACTCCCTTTATGTTATAATAACTCCTACTGAACCTTCCCAGAAGGACTCACAAGCTCAAAACATGCAGCGCTAGCTTTTGAAATCTTGTTATGGATTATCTGTATGTAACTTCAGAGTATTATAAAAACTATTAGATGACCCAAACATGCTACTCTTCATTCTAAACAGACAACTAAACCACTCCTTATATAGATATTTTGACTGTATTAATATCTTGTCCATTGTGTTGATGTACTCAAAATTCATAATATTGATATGAAAAAGATAATATGATAAGTTTAGTAACTTGGAGAGATAAAAAGGAATGAAGATAGTTTCTACTTTTGAGACCTCACCTCAGTTTGTCTCCAAAAATCCACAACTCATTGCAAAGAAAGGTAAAGAGGAACATTAGACCTTTGAGATTTCCCACCATAAAGAGACAAAACTGGGTGCAGTTACTGGAGCTTTCTCCCAGTTGATGGGGTTTAATCTAGTAACAATAGTAGTTTTTAAGCTTTTGGAGGGAGCGTTCTGGTGTTTCAGGTGGGAAAAGCATCAGTAAAATTTTATACATTTGATTTCTCAGAATGCTTCTTCATTAGGGAATGAGTAGGACTCATCTGGGATCTTAAGAGAAATCACAAACTACAGAGACATCTCTTGTGCATGGTGCCCTGATCAGGCACATGAGTTTCAGTGCGCCTGTGAATGGTGCTTCTCACCTTCCTCACCTCACACTTGTGTAGTTCTCAGTCTGGACTGCACACAGAAATCACAAAGGGAAGAGCTTCCAAAACTTAGTTTGCAGATCAAGTATGTGCTTACTCTGTTAAATGCTGACTTTGATTTAGTAGCTCTGGTGTGGGATCTAAAATTCTACATTTTAAAAGTTCTATTTTAACATTTGGTGATGATGTTACCTCAGTTGGTTAATGAACCATACATTGAGTAGGAGGATTGTAAAACACATCTGCCATCCCAAACAAACAAGACCAAAATACCCTAGAGGAGTTATGTCCAAAATATTTTGAAGCTGCTTGAATAATTTATTTTTTTAATCAGTACCAGGGACCTAACTCACGATTGCCTGCTTGCAAGGCAGGTGCTTATGCCGCTGAGCTAAATCCCCAGCCCTGCTGCTTGAATAATTTCATTATACAGACAAAGATTAATGACCTCTGCATCAAATGGCTACTCTCACAGAGAGTAAATTATGTTGAAATAATATAAATTGGAGAATATATTACATCATAATATTAAAGAATGCTATCATTAATAAGTGTTAATAAATATTATAAGTGCTGAACTTTAACAAGAATATTTCTATAACATGGAAAAGTCTTGACAGAGAGCAATGGAGAAAAAGAAAAGTTATACATGAGAAAGTATGGTATAGAACATTATACAATCTGGGAAATGAAGAAACCTGAGTTGGAAGGACACTAAGGCATCAGCTTATTCTCCTTCTTTCCAACTTACCCAGATTGTCTGAGGATGAATCCGGGACCTTGACCCAATATATTGCTCCTTTTTATTATCGGCATAGGAAGTAACAGCAGCTGTAATCATTGCCTATGTCTACATCGCCCCTGCTAACAATTCTCATTCTGTGCATCCCTGGGCCCAAGGACTGTACATCCCAGAGGAGTCCAGATCTTGGAGGAGCTCATTAAACACAAAACAATTACCCAGGGCCTGTCTTTGAAAAAACTTCTCAGTCCTCTAGTGATGGCTGATTATAACCACTTATCATACTGAATTCTGGGGAATATGAGGGTGGAGAGAAGCTCAGGGATAGATGCATAACCTTGCCTGTTAGGAAATGGACAGTAGCCCTGCATTGTTGGACCTTACATTTTTGGAGGTAAAGAAGCATGGCTGCAGAAACCATAAAAGACACCAAAGACCAGAGTGAATGATTTAAAGTATCTTAGAAGTAAAAACATTTATCCAAGAAGCCATCAGTGGTTTTGAAGCAGAGTATCACTATAAAAGACATAATTTGAAAAGATTGTAGGTGGCTGTCCCTTACTACAATACAACTCCCTATAAAATAATCCTAGGAGAGATAAACATACTGTTAACCAGGTTCAGACTTCAGTGACCTATCTTTATATGTGTGTGTGTGTGTGTGTGTGTGTGTGTGTGTGTGTATACAAATATGGAATAGAGAAGACTAAAACAAAAAATGAACTCTTCTGATGATAAATACAAATTTTCATTCCTTAAAAAGTTGCATCCTCTTTGATCTGGTCTTTTCTGGACCACTACAGTTTATATTAACATTTATTTTTGAACATACAAATACTCACTGAAGAATATCCCACTATTAAACTCAGCAGCATAAGCACCTGCCTCACAAGTGCAAGGTCCTGAGTTCACTTCCTGGTATTCTCTCCAAAAGTTCTGTTTTGTGTACAAATATACTATATATATAATACTAATACATTAAATTATATTTATAAAGCCACGGATAAAGAGAATGATGTGCCATGACTAGGTAAGATTTACCCCCAATATACAGGCTAGCTTAATATTTGAAAATCAATAGTGTAATCTGCCACATCATAAACTAAAGAAGAAAAACCATATGATCAAATTAATGTATGCAGAGAGAAGAACAGACAAAACATAACAAGGCATGAAAAATGCTCTCAGTAAACTAGGTAAAGAGAAACTGCCTCAATTTTGTAATGAACCATTACCAAAAAAACCTACGGATAATATAATGCTTCATGCTGAGAAACTAGAAATATTCTCCCTAAAATCAAGAACACAGGAAGAATATCTCCTATCAGCACTGTTTTTCAACATAATACTGAAAGTCTCAGCTAATATAAAATGACAAGAAACAGATTAGCAATAAACAGATTGGAATGGAAGAAACAAAACTGTACATTTCAAGATGACATGATCCTCTGTGTATAAATCCACAATGCTCACCAAAAGGTAACATTGGCAGAAAAGAACTTTAATAATCAAATATATAAAATGACCCATTCTGTGGATAGTGGCCACCTTTGTTCTTCAGCCACCCCTGTTATTGCCCATAAAAAGAGTGGCAACTGGCAGGGATGTAAGTTATGCCTAGGTTCAGAAACATGGATTCCCACTCACCAATACTGATCTGGCTACAGCCACTGCTGAGTGCCAAATATGCCATCAGCAGAGATCAGTATTGAGTCCTTGATATGGCACCATTCCCCAGAGTGATCAACTTGTGATCTGGTGGTAAGTTGATTATACTGGACTACTTCCACCATGGAAGGGACTATAGTTTGTCCTCCCTGGCATAGACACACATTATGGATATGAATTTGTCTTCACTGCATGTAAGGTTTCTGTCAAAATTACCATCTGTGGACTCACAGAATGCCTTATCAACCACCATGGATTTCCACATAGCATTGCCTCTGACCAAGGAACATATTCTGTAGCCAAAGAAGTGAGGCAATGGCATTCAATGGTCCTACCATGTTCCTCGCCATCCAGAAGCAGCTGGATTGATGGAAAAGTGGAATGGTCTTTTGAAGACAGTTTCAATACTACAATATCAGCTAGGCAACAACATCATTTAGGGCTGGGGTAAAGTACTCCAACAGGCTGTATATGCTTTGAATCAGTGTCCGCTATAAAGTACTGAGTCTCCCAAAGCCAGGATTCATGGGTCCAGGAAATCAAGAGGTGAAAATAGGAATGGTACCACTCACCATTTACCCCTAGTGATCCACTAGCAAACTATTTGCTTCCTGCCCCCCTCCATGACGTTATGTTCTGCTGGTTTAGAAGTCTTTGTTCCACAGGGAGGAAGGCTTGTACTGGAAAGCACAACAATGATGCCTTTGAACTGGAAGCTAACACTTCCCCTGGTCATGGTCTCCTCATGCCTCATGCCTCTGTGGAAACAAGCTAAAAATGGAGGCACGGTATTATTGGGGTGATTGATCCAGACTGTCAAAGAAGAATGTTGCTTACTTGTCTCTCACTGTTGAGACAAAATACCTGACACCCAAAGTGAATCAAGGGAAGGTTTATTTCTTATGATTTTGGGGCCAAGGCAGGATGGCATGGTGAAGCAGC